GAGACTGCTGGATTGAATTCACTTAAACACTTCAATAAATAAGCCATCATAGAGAAAGTATGCTCCTAGGTTCACAAATCTTAAAAAAAAAAAACACCAATTTTTCATAAAGCCAGTGAGAACTTTGAAGCTTTCAGATGTAGGAAGATGACCTCAGGTGTCCCAACCAACTCAGGACATAGCTCATTCTGTAAAGTAAGTGCTTTGAAAAAAAATCTTGTTACATGCCATCAAGAAAAACCACATTATATTTGCTGTCATCAGAATCAAATATGGTGTATGTATTATAAAGCCTATGCAGTGGAACCCATAGATCATTATTTCATTGCTAATTGGACTAATGGAAAATTTGAGGCAGCAGTAATATTGTTTTCAGTAAAATACAGATTCAGCTTTCTAGGCAGTACTGGCGTTTCTGTTCCAACCATATATTTATTTACTGCTGATAAAGGGTTCTTCCTGAGTAAGAAATTTCTTCGTCCACTCTAGTAATACTTAAGTAATACTTAAGACCTGCAATACTTAAGGAGGCTCTCAACTTTCTATTGGCATACTTCCTGTCTGATTTGCCCCACTTCACATATTTCCTGTCATGTTATGTGATCCATGCCAGCAAGTCTTAATTATATTCATCACACAAAGCATGCGTGGTCCTACATTGGGTTTTTCTGTTTTGTTTTTTCCTCTGGGCACCACTTTTTACATTTCTTTTCATTCAGTCTCTTTATCATTCACTTCTTATAAAGCAAACCTTAGCTCTGTGTGGAAGATCTTCCTCATCTTCTCGGAGATGAACCATTTTTTCTCAACCACTCTTCCCTTGGCCATTAGTGCTTCTTCGTAGCATCTTAACTCGCCACAGGCTTCCTGTCTGACTCTTTCTAAGCAGCAAGCTCCACAAAAGCAGAGACCATATTATTTACTCCTGTGATCAGACAGCTGCAAACAGGGCCAGGTACAGAAATGCACTCACTAAGGTGGTACTAAATAACTCTGTGGACTTTCTGACTGAAGGCTACTGGAGACAGCAATATGTCTGTATTAGCCATATTAAGTGGTTTGCTCATTTTTTTTTATTAACTGCATCAGTGTGTAATCTTTTCATCTTAAGTCACATTTAGTTGTGTTAGAGTGGATAATTTGAAGCAATTATGTGGAACTATTGGCATTGAGGAAACAGGATGGGATGACATCATGATACCCATAAATGGAAATTATGACTTTTTAGCCAATTACAATCAAGTTTGGTAATATCAACAAAATGTTTGGGTAGCATTAAGTTCTGTCTTCCAAACATCAGCATTTTTATCCTAAATCTAGAAGGAAAAAGTGGAAATTTCTCCTTTGTTGAAGCAGAGAGGTATTTAATGAGTTACTATTTGAATATGTAATGTTAGCATATACAGGACTAGATAGGAATGGCCTCTTCCTTTATGAGTTTTCTTCATCTTTCTTCTGGTAGATTACTGAAATGACAATGGGTGGCCTGCCATAGTAGGCTTAGAAAATATTAGAGCCAGGAGGCTGACAGCGGCCTGCCACATAGCCCAGCATCTGCTGAGCTGTCTCTGGGGCAGGAACGCTGCAGCTCATGGCTTTGCTGCTGTGTTGCCACACCACCTTCTGCTTCGTTGAGTCACTGGCTCCTCATGTGAAGTCTGCAGCCATTACATCTGACTGTATGTGTCTGATTGGCATGCCCATGGAACTTGTTTACAAGGATAGTGAGAAAAGGAAACATGTACGCATTGTGTATGTACAAATTCCTAACAGTAGGGAATGTCTCAAACACTTAAGGTGTAGGACAGCCATCTTAAAAAATATATATATATATACACACTTAAATATACATATACACATATATACACTTAAATATACATATATATAAATACACACACACACTTCTCATTTGACCCATTTTTTCCCCTCTTTTTCTACTTTGTTGCGGGTGTCCTGGGGCCCTCCGGGTGGGGGTAGAGTCGGCACGGAGTCATGACACAGACCCCAGGAGTCAGGTGAGAAGCAGGCAGTGCAAGCAGCTGCAGATTCCTTTATTGCGGATATGGGGCTCCCTTATATCCCCCCTCCCAGTGTCCCATTGGCCCCAGTAGGCTTTCTCGGATCGTGTCTGATCCTCATTGGCCCTCTCCATCAAGCCATCTTGCATCAGCCATCTCCATGTCCTTTGGCAGAATACAGGTTAGACTCAGCCAGATGTTTTTGGCGCATTTGCAGCACACATGCGCAAGTTGTTCAGGCCGCACTTCCTCCTACACTGCTTGACCCTAAGATTCAAAGATAGAGACTTTGGGCTTTCTTATCGTCATAATTATGGTAGTCAGGGTGACACCTGTCTTTTGGTGAACTATGACTTTGTACTAGAATTAAGTCTGGAAGTGGTTAAAAAAATGATGAAAGGTTATGTTTAAAAACTTCTATTATTAGGAAGTTATCATAAAGGGGCATTTAGGTGGAAGGAGTGGGTGACCTATTAGCAATAGTGACCTCAACAGAAAATGATAATTGGCTTATCAGGTGGGTAAAAAATTAGTAGACTTACTTTAAAAGAGATTCCAATTTCAATGGCGTAGGGAGGTTTGGGTGGATCTGGGCAGAGTTACAGGGAGAAGTAGGAAACGAATACAATCCAAATACATTGTATGAAATTCCAAAGAACTAATCAAAATATATTTTAAAATTCAGTATACATTTTACTGTGTTAATTTTATTGCAATCTTTTAAAATAAATATTTTGTTTGTTTTTATTTTATGTGAGTACTGCCTGCATGTATTTAAATGCACCACATTCCTGCAGTGCCCTCAGAGGCCTATGGAATTGGAGCTAGGATCATTATTAGCTGCCATGTGGGTCCTAGTAACAGAACCTGGTTCCTCTGCAAGAGCAGCAGTGCTCTCAACCACTGAGCCATCTCTTTGGCAGTTATATTTATAAAACAGAAAAAAAACCACATTATTTCTTTACTCATCAATTTCCCTGGTGTTTACATCTTTTCCCCACGTAATGAAACTTTCTTATTACTTCATAGACAAAATATCATAGTTCTTAGACTTCATTTATATAGAATCATTCAGAGCTATTTGCTGTCTGGATTATGTAATTTAGAAAAAAATTTTTTTGATTCAGTCATTATTTGCCATTTGTTGATGTATATTATATATTTTCAGATTAATGTTATAAAATATTTCTTCTATTTTATCTCTTTCCAAATAAGGGCTGTGATCAGTAAGGAGTCTGTAAAAAGCATTATGCAATTTTTTTCTTTGTGGTAAAATGTTTTCTCTCATCCTGGAAGAATCAATATATATGCAACTTTATAAAATGGTCACGAATATTTCCAAACTGTTGAAAAGTCTTACACTACTGTCAGCCATGTACACGAGTTTGAATTGCTCCAACTCTTGTAAACATTAAATTCAAGGGTCTGTAAAATGCTATTGCAGTGTGGGTTGAACTTAAAATATTTATTTATTTTTATTTTATGTGTATGAGTGTTTTTCCTGCATGTATGTAAGTGCATCATGTGCATGAAGTACCCGTGGAGGACAGAAGAGAGTGCTGAATCCCCTGGAACTGGAGTAAAGGGAAGGTTGTTAGCTGTCATGTGGGTGCTGGGAACTGAACCTGGGTCTTCTGCAAGAACAGCCAGTGCACTTAACTGCTAAGCCATCTCTCCAATCCTAGTTTGAACTTTTTATTTCCTTAATTACTAATGATGCTAATTATTTTTCATAAATTTAATGATCTTTGTTTTTTATCTTTCCCCTAAAGTATGAATTAGAATCTTTTGGTACTTTAGAATATTTTCTACCATCTTATTATTAAATATTAAAAATACTCTCTATATTTAAGACTTTCATTTTTTCATAGTTTGTAGTTTGCATATTCATTTTCTTAATGATGTATTTTGATAGGTTCAGATTTTCAGTTTTGATACAGTTCAGTTTTCCATTTTATACTTTCTGTGTTTTTGAGTGCTATCTGCATCATTTCCTTTTCATTAATGTTTAGAAAGATTATCTTGTATTTTGTTCTAGAATCTTAATGGTTCTAAGTTTCGTCTCTGGTCTATGAGCCATCTTGAGTGCAATTTCAAGTATGGAGTGAACCAGGGACTACAATTCAGTTTTTTAAAGAACTAAAATGAGCTGGGTGTGGTGGCGCACACCTTTAATCCCAGCACTTGGAGGCAGAGCAGGTGGATCTCTATGAGTTCCAGCCCGGCCTGCTCTACATAGTGAATTCTGGGACAGCTGGGGCTACGGGGAGACCCTGTCTCAAAAAGACAAAAAAGACAAAAAAAAAAAAAAAAAAAAAAAAAAAAAAAAAAAAAAAAAAAAGAACTGATAAGGTTCTGATTTCAGCAGAATTTCACTTCCCTTTCCTCCTCTTCAATGACTTGGTACATTTTTACTGAACAAATAAATGCTTGATTTTGTGTGTGTGTGAATATGTATGGTACATATTTGATATTTGATTTCCACCTAATTAGAATTCCTAACTTAAGTAGAATGTACAAACTAATCAGAGTTTCTTCCGACTTCTAATTCACATTTGCATTTATTTTAGGAGAGATTAGAGTAGCCTTTGTCCTATATAACAACTTGGGTCCTTATTTGTCCACGGAGAATGCCAGTATGAAGTTGGGAACAGAGGCTATGTCCACAAATCATTCTGTCATCGTCAATTCTCCTGTTATTACAGCGGCAATAAATAAGGAATTCAGTAACAAGGTTTATTTGGCTGATCCTGTAGTGTTTACTGTTAAACATATTAAGGTAAGAAAATGACATTATAAGTTTAATTGTCCCCATTATCTTTTTCTTGGATGAATATCAAATGTATTAACTTTTTAAAAATATTTTTTGCTATTTGACATATAAAAATTCATTATAAAATATAGTCATAATTGTTTTTATAAATATGCATATTGTCATTGTTCTTTCTTTCCAGAAAAACAAATACAAATGATCTCTATATGAGATGATGATGTTAATTTTCTCCACATAGTAACATTTTTTCTATCTACATGTAGTCCATAACACCATATTGTATACCTTAAATAAGCACAGCACATTTTTTAATAGAGCTAGCAATACCCCAGATTGAACTGAAGAGAGTTTTATATGATATTGCAGGTAGTTGAGTCTGTGTCTGAAGACTTATTTTTGTAGATATACAAATCTTGCAGAAAACATGTACATTTAACAAAGATTTATAAAGACTGTCCGTTCACAAGTTGTTTCCAGCAATTAGCCTCTATTTTTTAATGTAAAAACTGATATGATTCCAAATATTGCTAGTAACATCGTTCAATCTTAACAAATTTGAAAAATCAGTAAACCCATTTTAATTAGATGGTACAAATACCATGTATTCAATTCTGCTTTGAATTGATGTGGCCCACTTAATATGAAAACACTGGAACATACCTCTGTAAGGATTAGAACAGAGTATGAAGCTGTGCTGTGTGTAAAGAGAATGCCTGTCTAATTTACTTGATCATAAAATAGTTATTGCCTTTATTGATTTTTCTTTCACCATAGCAGTCAGAGGAAAATTTCAACCCTAACTGTTCATTTTGGAGCTACTCCAAGCGCACAATGACAGGTTATTGGTCAACACAAGGCTGTCGGCTCCTGACAACAAATAAGACACATACCACCTGCTCCTGTAACCACCTCACCAATTTTGCAGTACTGATGGCACATGTGGAGGTTAAGGTAAGATAAGCTGTAAAATAGAAATTCTTAGCATGCAATCCAGCTGCTGCTAACTCTAAATAGTCCTGATATATGAGTCAGTCTCACTTTAGTATTTTTCTACTTTCATTGCTATTCTGTCAAGAAATTATTTGGCCTTCAAGCCATGTCCTATTGGACGGTTCAAAGAATGGCTTCTTTCTTTTCCTACTGTCAATATATATCATATAATAGAAATTTGCTCAATAAATTTCCCTGTAGCCTCCCTGCTTTCATTTTGTACAAATAAATGTCAGACCATTACCTAATAAACAGGATAAGATAAGACCCCAGGTTGAAAGGCCAGTGGAATTGGATTAAAAGAAGCTGAGGGTTGGTACACTGAAGAATAAAAAACTATGCATAGACTAAATACTGTCAAACTTGGTTTTAGAAAAGCAACAGATAACCACAAGACACAGAATACAGTGTTGCAGAGGGCTCAGCAAAGTGTAACACTGAATTGTTACTACTCATTCAAGACATAATTCTAAAGAAAAATACAGGTGATAGCTTTCGTAGTTGGACAGTGGCTAGCTGAGCTGCGTCAGCTTCTAGTGTGTCAGGCTTTCACACACAGAGGGTTTGAGCAAGGAAATATTGATTTGCAATGGAAGAGGAGGCTGACTGGGTTTTAGGGTATCAAACTATTGGGGAAAGCCACAAAGGGCAGAGCTACACTGAAGTCTACATCTAGGGGTCCTATGCCAAGAATTCAGAGTGTTAGAGAGTTCTGTTTTTGTCCTAAGCACCATACTTTGGGAGTGATTGAGAATACTCATATATTGATTCCCTCATAACAGCTGATCAGGACCATTGTCTGAGTTGGGTCTACTTGTTGAGTGGAACGAATAGTTACAGTTGGAGAAAATGGAGGAAAGCTAGGTTATATTTTCTTGTGTGACACAAAATAAGTCAGGTTTCTGAGGTTTCAAACAAAATGCTCAATGAAAATAATGCACTTTTTCTAAACAGTTATAGTCAGAAATTAAATGAAAAATTATATATATATTTTAACTTTTAAAAACCTTTATGGAGAATTTCATACATGCATATAAGGTGTTTTGATCAGATCCACGCTCCCTCCCTCCTCTCCAACGCCTCCCATGTCTCCTCATAACTTTTTTCTGACAACTTCTTGTACTTTCTTTTTCTCTTTCCCGTCCCTCCCTCCCTCCCTCCCTCCCTCTTTCCTTCCTTCCTTCCTTCCTTCCTTCCTTCCTTCCTTCCTTCCTTCCTTCCTTCCTTCCTTCCTTCCTTAATGGGGCTTTTTTAAATTATTGATTTAATTATGTGTACATGTGTATGTCTGAGTGTGAACTTGCTCCTGTAGTTTTTTTTCAAATATTTTATGAATTCAATAGTTAAGTTTTTATATTACTTAATATTAAAATTAGTTATCTTATGTAATTTATATTGTATCTTATATAATCTTATATAATTTACACAAGATTATTTTTCTTTGGTAGAGTAACACATTGCATCATCAATTCATGCAATATTCAAAGCTTCATTTTCATAGTATTTCACATTAAAATACCTCAGTTATAATTATTTTATAGACATTGCATTTTAGAAACATTCTTAGAATGGCTTTGGGAATGAGTAAATGTTCTTTTATAAAGTTAAGCAAAAAATTTCTCATTTTATAAAGTCATAGCTATGCATCATTAAGAATTGGCAAATTATATTTTTAAGACAGTTGACATTATAGATTGAATAACATGTGAAATAATATATATTTTTAGCTGTGAGATCCAGCATACTTTTATTAGCATATAAAACATATACTAATAATGAGACAGAAACAGTTGCATTCAATTAGGTAGAGACAGGAATGAAGCTTGTACAATGCACTTGTCTCAATATATAAAAGTAGTAAATACAGATGGGAAAAATTAAATATATCCTGACTATGAAATATAACTTAATAATTACAAAGATACTGAACTTGGAACTCTCATAATCCCCAGATTCTGCTGGAACATACACTGTGGGGTGAGCCTGCTAGAGTCTCCCAGTCAGTGGTATACTTTACTCCTCAAACTATGAGATCACAGTTAAGGGTTTTCTTTCCAGCACCGCAGAGTATACCTGTGGTATGACTCTCCATGCAACTAAGAAATCACTAAGTTTCTAAATAATGATGGTACTGGAATGTTTTACATTCATGTAGATGATTCTCAGTGACATGTTAATGACAGATGTGGAAACTGTTCGACTGGATGCATGTGGCACTTGTTTCAGAAGTGATAGGGAAGTCTGTGGCCATGGCCAGTGTGGGAAGAATTTATATTTCAGATAGACTTAGCACATAAAAAATATGAACAGCTTATACAGTCTGGTTGTATAGTCTGATAGATGAATTGATAACAATAATTTATTTACTTCTGAATTCTCACCTCCCCGATGTCAGTGAAAATAGAGCAAGTATTAATGTTCAAGACATTTTAAAAATGAAAACTGTGGCAAAGGTTTTCCCTATCTCATGAAAATGACACAAAATAATTTCATGAGGTTTTCTTCGAATAGAATTTAGAAAGAGGTGGTACAAGTGTCCCAGAGGAAGATCACATCTATATCCAGTTAGCAACATAAAAATACCATTTCCTTAGCTGTTTCATCACAGTTCAAATTCTGGTCTTCAAGGGACTACAAGCCCTATTTTGTCAAGGCATCTCAAACTGACTGAGTTCAGCAAAAATGGCTACCCTGACAATTGATAGATTTAATTCTGGAATGTGTTAGTCCAGCTCTTGGATTCTACATTTCAACCAGTCTAGAGAATAACCTCAGAAAAATGGATCAAATTTTTGGCAACAACAAAGTATTATTTTTTTTTCTTCAGTTCATTGCCTGACAACTGGTCTCCAATCCATTATATAAGAATCATGACTGTGACCACTATTGTGTGTCAACAAGAGATAAAATAAATGAAAATCAATATTTTCCTTTAGCATTCAGTCACACAGAATGCTTCACTTGGGTTTCTTGTATCACAATCTCTTGTAATTACCTTGGTCTGTCCCATGTTGATCCCAAAAATGATTTGGCACTTTAATGATTAAAGGAGAATCAAAAACACAGAGACTGGTCATCAATAGAAATCTAATTACATAAGACTACTGTCTAAAATAGAATACGAATTTATTCATGCAGAATGAGAGATACAGCAACGAGTTGGAACAGAAATATTTATATCTTCTGTTTGCTACTTTCAAACTCCACAGTAAAATCCTATATAAAGGAAACAAAATTATGTAGGATAATTTTGTTGGATGAATTTGGAAAGAAAGGAAGAGTTGCCAGAATAGTCTCGATACAGCTGTTGCTATCAAATCTTGGTATGCTGTTGCATCAGTTTTCACCCTAGGACTCTACCTGAATCCTGAAGTGTCCTCTGTCTGTCTGTCATCTGTCTGTCTGTCATCTGTCTGTTATCTCTTCTGATTTCATCTACTGAATCCTCTCTACTCTTAGGCAGCCCTTGTTTTCTTGTTTTTATCCACATTTTCGAGCATCGCAGTACGACAATATCATACAGTTATTGATAGTGTTCCTAGTATATAGCAGGCTCTCAGCAATCGTTAACCTCCTCCTTCCTACTTCTTCCATGCACTACCAGACTTCAGTGGTCCTGCTTCAAACTCGTGGTCCTTAAGCCCTCCATTTTTTGAGGAGAGTGGGATTAGGAAGAAGGGCAGAGCATAGAGTTGTGGTGATGCACATAATCCTGATAATTATTGAGGCTCACACTGTGCTTTAGAGACATAGAGGGAGATCAGGGCATATGTTTTCAGAGATGGTTTATCAGAGAAATGTCCTGATCTGAAGGAGGAATAGAATGATTTTAGTAAGGTGATATGCAGAGAATATAAATCAACTGTGTTCTTGTGAAACGCTCTCCACTTATCTGGGGTGTATTACTCTGGTTTCTTTCTTATCCTTTGCTGGTGGCCATCCCATCCATGTCCTCTCATTGTCCCTTTGACCAAGAGTATAATCTGAAATAACTGTCTTCTTCTTAGCTGATATGTAATCATATTGTCAATTTGCAATTCCCAAGTTTCTACCTCAACTTTTAGACTTAAAGATTTAGCCAGTGCCTTGTGTTGTAATTACATCCCAGTATTTTCATCGTAAATTGAAAAATCATAAGTCAGAGGGCTGGAGGGATGGCTCATCAGCTAAGAGCACTGTCTGATCTTGCTGAGGACTTGGGTTCGAATCCTAGCACCCGCATGGTGGCTAACAACCATCTGTAACTCCAGTTCCAGGGGATCTGACACCCTATT